CACAATGGAATAAATGATTACAGAGATACCCATACATCACTCAGTAGTCATGAATTTCTACACGGTTTTCACCGGTATACCAAACGAAACAATAACAGATCATACGCATGTAAAAACTCTAGCTAAGGGAAGGGAGACGAAATAAACGGCGCTGACGTATTAGGGAAGGGGGAGCGGATCACTCCAGAGCGCCTTTGCGTCTCCCCCCCCCCCCCGCCAACGCTTGGGCCTAGAGCGCATACAGCCAGAGTCGCTGCCCAGTCCTCTGGAAGGCCACTACGGGACTCTAACCGTCTGCGCTCTAAGCCTAGCACTTGACTAGGGAGGAGATACAGAGGCGTTTCGGGAAGTCCCACCTCCCCTCCCCCCAATACAGTGGCGCCAAAGTAAACCTCTATGAGGACGACGACACGAACACGATGAAGAATGCGGAATAGAAAATCAAAAACAAAACGCATTTTCGAGAAATTTGCACGTCAACGAAAGCGGCGACGAATGAGAAAACAGATTCAGATCCACGGCAATTGAAATTATAGTCTCTATCGATGACTTTGAATAACCCTAAATGGATCTAACTGCCGAAGTTCATTGATGACATCATACTCAACTATCAGTAACTAGTATTGCAGCTGAGCGAAGTCATAGTGAGATTTCGAGTAACTGATTCATCCAAACGCTCGCTTCTTCAACAAGTCGTTCATCATTTCCGAAACAGCTTGGAACACTACTGACGACTTATCACCAGACATCGTTATACAGATTCCATGATTCCTAGAAAATTGAGATCAACAAAAAAAGAAAAAGAAAACTAAAACAAAATACTCTTTGCCAAGGCGTCACTGTAGAAGATTAAAGGCAGTTGGTACGATAAATCCCCCATCCGCGACCCTGGGCAGGCGCTGCATAGCGGTTTCCCCGAGGAAGGTGCCCTTATAAGGGCCCTATCAAGCCACAACATTACGTCCCAAACGCCCGCCCGCCCACAAATGGACGACCGTTCCTGACGCTCTAATCGATTCATTTGCTAAGCAAATTATGAAGCGAAGGGATTGGTATGAAGCGGCCGTGATGCTGCATGCATATATGGTACACATATGCAGCCGTATCTTCGGTAGCGGTGATTGGTAAGATGCCTACGGGAAACTCGTCCGAAATCGATTTACAAGTCACTGAGAACGGAGGCTTTTTCTTCGCAGGATTTTGACCGTTTCACTCCGTTCTTTCGCCATTTCCCCACTATACAGCGCCCTACTAGCATTTTAGGCTAAGTAGGAAACCATCGTGCCAACTGCCTTTAAGCGCGATGAAATTTGCTTCGCTACGGAATGAGGCCAGTGCAGATGCTAGGCTAAGGAGTTCCTTTAGGGACAAGCCCAGAAACGGAACGAATCGCTACTCAGTCGCGCCGCGGTGGTGCGCTCGATCGCTTGTCAAGGTATCTCCCCCCCCCCCAAAGGTTGCACCTCGGGAGAGGGCATCGCATTTGCTTGATCGAAAATTTCCTCGATTGATGATTTTTCCCCTTCAAATGCTGCATTCTCCCATACCCCTCCCTCCAAGATCAGAGGCGCGAAAAATTAACTACCCTCGATAGCTGATCGGTCGTCTGTCTTCTGACCAGCACAGCTGGACTGTTTTTAGGGGTTGATGGAGGAAATGACGGAGTCCTATGTAGAAAAATTCTCTTGACGAAATGCTCGACTCTACCAAGTCAGCCCCCTCAACAGTTCACGGGATCGTCATCAGAGGGTCCTCTTTGGCCAGTAGAGGGAGGAGGTCGTATTGGCGCCCGACTAAAATGTTTTCGGTTGATTTTTCTCGTTTACTTTTGCTTTCCCGCCGCTATATACCCCCCCCCCCACGGTGGTCTTTTAAAATGGAAAAGGTCTGGAAAAGCAGTACAAAATAGGGGAGGATTTTGGAAGATGGCAGGTAGGATATCGGATATGGAATGAGGTAGTTTCAGACGACGAACTTTTGAGGAAGGTCGCATTTTGCAAAAGTTCTCCAAAAGCAGGAAGTTCCCTCTCGCCAATCGCAAGGCGCCAAAATCAGTGCAGAACAAGCCGTTGAGTAGCATTACAAACAGTCTTACCTATAATAGTCAACTACTTTGCTTTCCGTCTTTTCATGCACTTCCAATCTTCGTCGTACAGCTTCTACAGCATCATCTTCTCTCTTGAACAGCGGCTCTCCCGTTATGTCGTCCTTCCCCTGGAAGTCCGCTTTGATGGGACAAGAAACTGGGAAGATGTGATTGAAAGCTGCCAGAAGACTATCATTCGCTGATTGAAAGCTGCCAGAAGGCTATCAGTCGCTTACCTCAACTTTCGGAGGGTTAAAATCTAAGTTGTACGTCCTTCCTGATCCATGATGTACAAGTTGCTTGGAGAGCCGATCGATGAGAACCTTTCTTGGCACCTACAAAAAATACAAATAAAAGAACTGTATAGATTGCGTAAAGAGGGGATAGAGTGAAAAAAGTAAATATGATATAGAGAGCAAAATAAAAAGGGCGCTATTCCAGTAAGACGGGCATTTTGGTGCTGAGTAATCAAGACGTTTGAAAACACCACAATGGCCGCCAGGAACGAGTGTTACCCAAGTTTGGGTAGGAATGAGTTCTGGAACGGACGCTTGTGCAAATAGGGATTTTTAACACCGCGCCAAAAGCCCCGTCTAGTAGCGCCAAGCAAGTGTTGACAGGTTTTTCTTCAAAAAAGTCATCTGAAGCGAAAGATAAAGCTAAAACGGTAAATACAAGTAACATCAAGTCAAGAAAACAAACCTTCAACTCAACAACCAAATCCTAACGGCGCTACTTCCTCGATCATCCTCACTTGGCCCAAAGTACGCGGGTAACCTATAAAAAGTATGGTTCTGTTGAGATTTCATCCTGTTTTACCAACAATCCTTCAATAACATCTGTTCATGCACAACTCCGTGGACCTGTAGCAGATCCTAAAGAGCAGCATCAACGCCTCCAAGAATTAATTTTCGAGGCTCCCGTGAAGCTGGGCCAGATCTAGGGAGCTGAAAAAGCTGCGAAAAGTTTCGATCCTCTCGTTTCTTTAGAGTCGTTTGCAAAGAAATCGAGGTCATTCATCCACAGCAATCGTTGAACCGTCCATTTCACTCCTTCATCTCTTCCACAAACTTAGAAGCCCTCTACGTATATCCCCTATCTGGCCCTTTGGGCTATTTCATTCACGCTTCAATTTATAGTCCGAACTGTAGCAAATTTTACGACAAGGAAGTGGAACTGGAAGCAGAACGGCAAACGGATCGCTTATCGCTATCGGGGGCAACGGTAGTGTAAAGATGTCACGCGGTGAAATGTGCAAACTAATACGCCGCCAACGAGAGCAAAGACTTGCAAGAACGTCTAGTTTGCACGATGTCGTTCCAAATAAAATCAGAATAATCAGCAGTTGTGCGCGAAACCCGAAAAAAAACACACTGACATTTTCGCGACGTGACAAGTTACACTATAGGAATCTTCAAAATTCCCCTCCCGATACCCCCCCTCCCCGATAAACATTAGGACCATAAATTCTTGGCCACCGACTAAACTGGACATCCTTGAAACCAGGCAGGCTTGGGCGTGAATATGATGCGCAGGATGGATTACTCCTGGTTTAATTCCAGGCAGGTTTGGGCCGTGCAAACCATGGCGCTAGGATGGATTACTCGTGGGGAAAATCCGACCTAACACATCTGTCGTCTTGTCTTCTATTGGACGAAAATAAGATTCGATGCTTCCAAAGAAACAAATATCCACCAAAACGCAACCGCAGCCGCGTCATAGCCACGCCTATCGCGTCTTAGGGATTTGGAGTCTGTATTACCACATCTGAACATCTTTTCATTTCATCCTATAAAGGAGACATGCTGAACACAAGTCCACCCTGGTTTTCCGTATTTCAGGACCTTATTAGCAACCCGAAGTTCAACGCATGAATCAAAAAAGGTCCCCATTTCGAACCAAAACTACCTAAACTACCACTTCGAAATCGCGACACTGGGCGGTCGCCGATCATGGTCAGATTCTCGGATTACTACATAAGAACTGGGCTCATCTAAGTTCCACCCCTGTAGACATCGTATTCGGTAAGCTGACGTCACAGCACAGCGAAGTAACCTATGAATTGGCCTAGGGGCAACCCATCTTCAGCCATTCTTCTGCGGGAGAACCAGCTTGCCAAAGTTATCCCTAACCTCTACTGCTCAGATGAAGCTTTCACAACAGATCAAAATATAACTAATTCCCACTCATTTATTCAACGCGCTCCTCCGAGGCTGCTTTTCTGGGATAATCTTGGGTATGCAATTATCTATCAGAAATTGTTGACTTTCACTCATATTAAATATTTATGGCTTAAAAGAGGTCGCGGCCTCTCAACATCCGTTGTTCCTAAATCTCGAAACGATCCCCTTATTCCTGATGGTTGCGACCGACAGTTCCCTTGTTCGATGGCCAATAGTTCCCTTGTTAATCTAACCAGCATGACGAACTCTGACCT